TGAGCTGTCTTGTCCTAAATGTGAATTTCATTTAGCAAATCACCTGACCCACGGCTCACTGCCTAAATTACACAAATAAATACCTGGCACACACAAACATTTTGTCACGTAAACAGATTGATATTTATTTTATTTACTTAGATCAGGCAGCGAAAAACAATACTTCGACACAATACGAGAGGTATTAGAACAATTCTTTAACTCTTTTTTTTTTAACGGTCACAGTGTTTAACATTAACGTGGCGCACCGGAGAACACATTGCTTTGAGTGAAAAAAGTCCCGGGTTCAATCCTTAAACAGGCCTAAGATACAAACTCTTTTTAATTAAATCGAATCTGAGTATTCTAGGTTATATCCCGAAATATTCATTATTTATTTCTCATAACAACAACGAACCCTGCGTTGAACGCATCTTAGCTTGAGAACCATGCAATTGGTATGTTAAAAAAGCAATTGGTGTATAAGAAATCTAAATTAGTAATAAAAAGAGGAAAAAGTTGATTGTTTGTAATAGATAAAGTCAAAAAAATACTTAAACGATTTTATAAATTCTTTCTCCTGTAAGAAAGTGCATTAACAGCGAGTAAAATTAAAAATTTTAACAGTTAGAGATCTTTTACCTGTCTATTCATACGAAGCTAGGGCGAGTCACTAATATTATATAATATTAAGTAGGTAATATAAAAAATTACCTAAAAAACAAAAGTAAAAAATAAACACTCAGACTCATTACGTACAAAATTTATTACTAAGACTAAAATTTAAAAACTGTTGAAAATTTTACTAATATAATGAAATTATAACTAGGCTATGACTATACATAAATTAATATGCGGGATCTTAACAAATAATAATTTTATTTTTAAATCCAAAATAATATTTTTTAGAAATTTAATCTGGCGTCGGTCTGTCTATATATTTACTCCAGCATCACGTAAAAACTTAACTTTGAAACTTACCAGACGTAGTCTTTGTACAAATCTCGTTTGCTTGGGCACCTCTGTCCCATTCGTGTTTCTAGCGTGAAGCAGTTGTATTTGCATAATTGTCTTTTGGTTTGATGGATGGGATATAGCAGTGAATTTAAATTTCGCCATCTAGAAGTGATTTATATATTTCATTGGTTTTCCTACTTCTTAAATACGAGTACATGCGCACGAAGTAGAAGTCAAAAAGTTATATATAAACGCATATCTGAGTGAATGGCAAGGGTGTCATAAGCTCCTAAGATAATAATTATCTAAATATTTAATGTTCTGTTGTCCATGTTCTAACCTTAGACACGATTAGAATTATCTAATTATCAAGATACTTAATAAAAATATAGTTTTTAATTTTTTTAATTGAATATTAATTGCATATTAGTGCAAGAATAGTTAATTAATAGAAAAGAAAAGAGTTATTATTACATTATTCTTTATTATACACAAACATAGTGTCAAAGTATTTAATTTTAAACGCAATGTACAAAGGCGAGCTTATCTGTAATAAGAAATTTCTTCCAGCAAACCTTTTCAAGCCAAATTCAATTATAGGTTATTTATGAAAAATTATTAATTATTCGGCTATACCATGTTTTTTTTTGCAACATAATTGTGATTTGAATTAGGCGAGATAATTTAGTAATATATATAGATATAAGATTAAAGTTAGATAAATAAATAAATCCATGCACAAAATTTAATCTGAACTCAATCATCAAAAATTTCCGGAAGGGAGAAAATATAATTATGAATTAAACTATATGTCGTACACACCCCAATTTGATGTATTTACGATGTATGTACTTTGTACATACGATCACTCCTTCACTCGTTTAGTACGTGGTTTATTGTAGACTATTCTATAATTGCACAATCTTACAATTTCCGTCAATAGCATATTTGGCAATCGAATTCCATACAATCAAATGTTTCTGAGAATATTAAATTTCAAATTTCAGTCGCTTATCTTGCATAATCTACTTATTATGTATTATAGTGTAGGATTATAGCATAAAAGATATTTTTCGAAGATAATATACGTACATGGTAGATTTCTTGTTATTATGTTAAAATATTGCTAACTTAACCGGAAACTATAAAAACTTATTTGTAATTAATATATACAGAGACTTGTCTGTAACTATAATTTAAGTTTGTAACATGTATGTTCCATTATTAGCTATGACCGATGGTTTTATTTTCATAAATTTGGGTAAAAATATTCAAAGTAACATGAGGTGTAATCTTTTTGTGTATCAACATTCTACCTTTAAATAGTAAAAATACATTTAAATGTTAAGTTAAACATTTTTTTATGATATTCAGAGCTATTTGTGTCATTATATAAACATAAAATATAGGTAGTAGTGACCGTTTGACTAAAAGATGGAATTCAAACGCAAGACTAGATAACCTATCACAAGCTATTATGGTTTACTACACCAGGAGTGTCCGTCAATCGAGGAAAAATTCTACTCACTTTTTTCTTGATGAATTCTATGCATGCAGTCTTAAACTTCTACATTGTGAATACAAAGCGTTTACGCTGCTACTACCAATATAACAAATACTAACTGATTAAAATCTCTGACTGCGTAGCTGCTTAACTATACTATCCATTAATGGTCTCATTAGAAAGTAATGGAAAAGTACATCACATACTTTACTTGTAATGTATACAATACTTTAATTAAAATAATAATATGGATTTTATACAGTACCTACCTGCTAGCCCATTGGCAATTTGTAAATTGACTTTCAGAATTACTGTACTCAATAATATTTATTTCTTATAGGGTAAGGTTATATTGTTTATTATTTGAAGTATTCATAGAAAACATCAATTTATGGTTTTGTTATAATTGCAAAAACAGTATTTATTTTTTCTAAGTAGTAAATATTAATATATAATATTTTTCTATGGTTACTTTATTACATATTTCATAACATAACATGTTTAAAATAAACAGAATATATCACCAGGAAGTTTATTTTTAGATAACTTTTATAACCTAGTTTTAAATACTTGAAAGTAAAACACGATTTGCCTGACTTTCGACAAATACCTCGCGTATTTGTACATTCAAGAGTCAGTGATCCACGACAACGACTCGTACGAAAAGGGTTACCCAAAACTTTTTATTGGGAAACTTAATGTTAATCAAAGGCAAGAAATACCAAGTTCAGAATAAAGGACGTAAGTATCTAATTTTTTAAGCTAACTAAATTAACAAAATAACTTTCTTCAAAGTCAATTACACCCACACTTTTTCATTTTTATATAAGATATAGATGTAATTTTCTACCTTCTATTCTTGCAACTCTACCTTCGAATACTTGGTTCTCTCTGGCTATTTTGTAACTGACATAGCGTGAGAATATATACATTTTTAAAGTCACATATTTATAGCATAGGGAGCAAACGAGCATACGGCTCACCTGATAGTAAATGATTACCGCGGAATACCGCCCCTATACTGCCCACTATATCAGAGAAATTGCAGGTGTATTGCCGGCATTTTAGAAAGAAATATACTGTTTTCTTGAAGATTTCAATGTCATACCTATTCATATATACTGCTGCTGGGAGTTGGTATCATAGGTTGATTGTGCGCAGAAAAAAGTGTTTATAGAAACGCACGATAGATCCAAAATATTCTACGATTTCTTATTACAATATTTAATGCTCATTCCCATAAAAAACCTCTTAATTTTTTCTAAACTATACTTCGAAACAGAAAGTTATTTGTGTCTAGTGTTAAGATTATACAGATCGCTGTTTTTAAGAAACAGTTGAAGATTTTTGCGTGTATACGAAATATTTGCGTAAGGCTACGGTGAGAATAAACCAGAAGCAAATAGCTTCTTTAAATTTTTCTCTTAACGATTCACGATTTCCCATAGAATAAATTGCGCGAACAGTACGTTTTTGTAATACAAATATTCTTTTGATGTCGGCTGTTTTACTCCATAATAATATTCCATAGAACAGTATACTATGAAAGTAACTAAAATAAACTAATCTAGCAGTCTCAATATTAGTATACTGTTTACCTACTAACCCTACGTACAGCATATGCCGCAGAACTTAATTTAGCTGCAAGGTTTTAAATGTGAGAACCCCATTAAAAATTCATTCTCAAGAGTGATTCTAAGAAAAACAGTGGAATGTATAAAGTTTTACAGAATAATTAGAATCGTGATTTTTAGAAAGAAAAATTTTTGTGCATTTAGTTTTTTTTACATCCAACATTAGATTATTATTTGTAAACCAATTCAAGAGATGCAGCATAACATTATTTATATCGTCATAATGTTTGGTCAATCTATCAACCTTAAAAATTAAAAAAGTATTATCTGCAAACAATACTATGCCATATCTATCCTGCATAGCAAAATTGAGTTCATTTATATAAACTAAAAATAGGAATGGCACAAGAATAGATCCTTGAGGTACATCCATTTGCTCATGTGATCCGTTAAATGTCCGTTAAAAGTTGAAATAAATAGTGTTACTATTTATTTCAACTTTATGAATTCTCTTTCATAAATAAGACTTGATTAAGTTTAAAGCATTGTCATAAAAGACACACCATAAAAACCAGTTTTTTCACTAATGTACTATGATCTACAAAATCGAAGACCCAAAAAACGCCAATCACATCCATTTTATTTTCCCAGGCAGCAAAAATGTGCCTTAGTAACTCCGCACCTACATCCGTAGTTGAACGTCTTTTTGAAAATCTAAATTGACTATTATGATTTAATTTATTTAAATTAAAATAAGTAAATAGATGATTCAACATATTTTTTTCACATATTTTTACTGAGTGCGGGAAGAATGGAAATGGGTCTATAATTTACTGGATCACTTGTAATGACATTCTAAAAAGCGGTATATTTTTACTAAATGTCATTACATTAGAAAACTTACCATCATCTATGCACTTATTAAAAATAAAAGCAAGAGAATAGTTTCAATTAAATTTCAATCAGATGGATTTGAGATTTGTGAAATGTTCTCTAATTACTTTGCGTCTATTTATGGGTCAGATACTCAAACACTGTTGGATAATAATTATGTGGCAAGGTACTTATTGCCATCAAACTTAGGCTATGGACTTACGAATGTTCAATTTTCTAAAGATGAAGTTTTGGCTAGGTTGAAGACATTGGATGTCAATAAGGGTGCAGGTTCTGATGGAATTCCACCTCTATTCATAAGGGCATGTGCAGAGAATTTGGCTATTCCAATACATCTCATATTTAACTTATCACTAAAAACTGGTATATTTCCCTCACAATGGAAATTAGCAAAGGTAATCCCTATTTATAAATGCGATGACGAAGCTTTGGTGTCCAGTTACCGACCTATTTCCCTACTCTGTACAATTGCAAAGGTTTTCGAATCCTTGATATGTCCATTGATTCAAAATTTCATAAAACCATTAATCACGGACTTTCAGCATGGTTTTGTCAAGGCTAGATCAGTGAATACAAATTTAGTAACATTTGCTGATTTTATTACTGAAGCTGTAGATACTAACTTGCAAGTTGACGCTATTTATACAGACTTTAGCAAAGCTTTTGATTCAGTACCCCATAATATTCTGCTGCAAAAACTATCTTTATATGGTTTTGCAGATCCTTTGCTATCATGGCTGAGATCGTACCTAACCAGTCGATCATTTTACGTTGTTATTAATGGATTTAAATCGCTCAATAAAATGATTACATCAGGTATCCCTCAAGGCTCTAATATTGGTCCGATTCTCTTCAACATATTTATAAATGATGTTGTTTCGGGTTTTGAGTCGTCCTTAGCATATTTGTTTGCAGATGATTTGAAACTTGCAAGCATTATAAGATCTGTCTATGATTGTGTGCTTTTGCAACGCGATCTGGATAGACTAATTATGTGGTGTGAATATAATGGCATGTCTCTGAATTTTAGGAAATGTCTTCATATAAAATTCACTAGAAAACACAATAAAATTGCCTTTGATTATCACATCTATAGTGAAACTTTAAGTGAAGTGAGCACTATAAGAGATCTGGGTATACTTCTAGACAGTAAATTAACATATTTACCTCAAATAGAGTTTGTAATAGCAAAGGCATCAAGAGCTTTAGGTTTTGTAATTCGCAATGCCAAGGAATTTGTAAATCCAAAAACTAAAATAAAATTATATTATTCATTAGTTCGAAGCGTCTTGGAATATGGTTCGATAGTTTGGCGACCACATTATTCGACCCATATTTTAAGATTAGAGCGTATACAAAAAAGGTTTCTCTGGCATTTGGCTTTTTCAGCTCGACAATCTAAGACCTTGGTGGCCTACGGGGACAGACTTATCTATTTCAATATGGTATCACTTGATAAGCGTAGAACATTAATAGATTTAATGTTCTTATATAAGTTGTTTAGGAACAGAATTGACTGTTCTCAGCTTCTTGCCAAATTTAATTTTCGATTGCCCGTACACTATCCCCGTAGTTACATCAGTCTAATGTCCGTGCCGTTCCGTAGAACTGTTCTTGGTGCCAACTCCACTGTACCACGTCTTTGCAAGCTGTTGAATGATTGCAAGCAACACTTGGATATTCACTTCGATACAGAAGGGGATTTCTATAGGAAAGCATTACAGTTAATTTAAATAGCTAAAAAACTTATGTGAAGCAATCATCTACTGAATCTAAAAAACTATACCAATGTCAAATACTTCAAGAGATTGTTATACTATATTATTGTTTTTGTTAATTAGCATGCTGTGTTTCCTTTAAAATGATTGTACACTAAGTATAAATAGACGGTAATTTAAATATTAAATCTTATCAGTGTAACAATTACTAGGAGACCAAATAAAGATAAAATAAAATAAAAAATAAAAATTATACTACTAAGTAATTGTAATAGATATACCCCACAGATTCACCGTTTTTTATCAAAGAGACGCAACGTCTTTGCGCTAATCTATTTACTATTATATTTTAAACTCACACAAACCAGCTTGAAGACAATTAATGAAATTATTCTAATTATTTTACAAACTTACAAATAGAGGAATACCCCCCGTATGAAAAATTTATTTGTTACATTCTATTCTATAATAAATTTTACTGCAATAGAATGTTGTGCTACAGCCGTTATAAACAAGCTAGCATTAATAAGAAGTTACTTTGCAATAATTTCATAGGAACGAGGTCAGACCAGATATTCCAGAGCAGTTGCTTTTAATCCGAAAAATCTCTACTAACTACGCGTCGCCTTCTTGGCGGTCCGCAATAACACTAACTCGTATAAACTGGGATTATATTACTCTTGCTACTACAGCTCGACTTAAATTTTAAATACGAAGTTATTATAAACTTATACAGTGTTATTCAGACACTTTTAATCCAGAGAATTATTCAAACGTGTAGTAAGAAATAAATATGAATACAAACAGAAATAAAGATATTTATATAACATAAATCACTTTTTTACTAATATTCCATAAGCCTTACCTTGGAAAAAACCTTAGAGAAATTTCGAATTATTATGCAAGAGTTATATGGCTATTTGTATATTTATTTATTTAAATATACCTTTGAATTTATATAATGAACGCAGTAGATGTAAGGTAAAAATATACAAAATATGACTACATAATTTAGTTCACATTTAACTATATAGATAGACTGTATATTATCTACATATAAATTACTATGAAATACTTCACATATGTAAGAATTTTGTAAGAATTTAAATATTGAAATAATCTGAGAAAATAAGTCTTTTTCATAAATTTCCATAAATATCCATAAAGCTGAGATTAACATTCATCACGATTATTATTTGAAAGAGTACGCTATACCACATACTTTATTTACAATATTTATTTTATATATATAATCAATACTATTTAAGTAACATATGTAAAACACAATATATATACATAAACAAAATAAAAATAAATATATAATATAATTAGCAATATAAAACACTTTCACTTACACCTTAACTTATCGGCACGCCTCTTATATTTGTCGTCAGCAGTCTGAAATCACTTCGACACTAAACACATGTCTCTCTCCTTACACATTATATTCCATTTAATACGTAAAACAGTTGGCTGGTAAATTGTAATTGTTTAATGATAAATACTCTATATATAATTAAGTTCAGTGCTTTAACTAGAATTCTACTACGCTGCCTATAACGCAATTACATTAGAGATATTACGTACACTACCTACGTAAATACTATCCAACAAGTTAGCTAAAAATCCAATTTGAAAATAACTCTATATAAAATGGATACACTTAACGTTTATTTTTGATCATAGAACAAATCCATTTCAAAAATAATTTTAAAATATATCATTGGGGGAAATAAAATTTAACTATGCCAATATTTATATTAAATAATCAAATCACATTTAAACTTATACAGATAAAACACAAAACGTCAAATCTCATTTAAAATAATATGTAATAAATTACAGTATCTAAACAGAATATCTAAGATACCCGTGGATTCTCGAATACTACAAAATCGGCAAGAATGCAATTATTGTAGATACCAACCTACTTAAATAAAATTATGAATAATAGATAGGAAAGGCAGGGAGCGTATTTGCATAAACATGCAATTAAAGTGGGTAAGGGAATGTCCCCGGTCCCTGATAATACTGAAGAAGACGGCTGCGGTCATTCATAACATTTCCATAAAATCGGTACTAATAATTAGTCATCTGGGGGACTACTACTGAATGACAAATCTAAAGTTTCGGTTGAAAATTCTAGTCTTATTTACTACGAACTTTATTGGATTTAGTCGTTCAGTAAAGAGTTCCCATATATTTTGACTAAATTATATTTGGGTTATAATTCTCGTCCTAATTCCCCACCCAGAATACCTTTTCATGATACTAAAAATAGCAAACAAGCTCTACCTGATTGAAGGTGGTAACCATCTCTTATAGACATGAATGGCTCATGATACTCCTCATGCGTTGCCATTGCAGTATAATGCATCCATAGCCTGTATTTTACTAACATACCCCATTCTTCAAACTGAAACATAGCTACATAAGCACAGCTACTTGGCAACAGAAATACGAATGAAACAATGGCACCCAAGCAAATTTGTACAGCAATGTCTCCCTGTAGTCAATTAATTATTGTATATCAAACATTTTGAATTGTACAAAGTAATATGTATTTAACACTCCCTTACTATAATCATAATATATGGATAATTTATAATTTTGTATCGAAATTAAGCTGCATCTTTAGCGGATAGTTTATATAACTCATATTTATATATAAACTTACAGGTGGATTTGCATAGACACTATGCAAAATTTACTCGAGTATCGTTTAAGTCTAAATTTTCTAGGCTAAAAATATGTCTAGATATAAATAAATACCTTGACATAAGGATTTATTGCCAACTCCAACAATCCTACTAAAATTATATGTAAATGCGAAAGTTTATGAAGATAGATAGTTACTCTTTAATTTAAAAACTGCTAAACGGATTTGAATCAAATTTGATACAGAGTAGGTTATACCTTACTTTAAAATATAGAATACTTAATATACTGATTCACGTAGGCAAAACCACGGAATACAGCTGGCATCAAAATAATACAATATTAACATAAGATATTAGTTATCCATGTGGTGACGAAACACGAATAGAATGTATATATATTCCAAGTAAAATCCTATATCAAACCAACTTGTTAGCCTAGTAAAAGTAGCCTACATCCGTCTATTATGGGGAAGAGTCCAACAGTGGCCCTATTGCTAATAGTCTTCTCCTTACATAATAATATAGTAGATTATTTCTTGCAGTAAAATAGTTGGTTTAGATGTAGAAGTTTATAATGTGGTGTATTAAAACTAAATTAAAAATCTACAACATACCTACATATAGTTTATATTAGCTAATTATACAGTAGAAACAATCATTTGAACGCTATATCTTATTTTATAACTCATAGCTCTATCTGCATAAATTACAAAAAATATAACGTATAAAAATGTATGTTATGGTCCACTTACATAATTAATTCTTTACAACCATTAAAGTATAATGGAATAAGTAAAAAACATAAAAATATTGTACAAACATTCAAATTTATATATATATATATATATATATATATATATATATATATATATATATATATATATATATATATATATATATATATATATATATATATATATATATATATATATATATATATATATATATATATATATATATATATATATATATATATATATATATACATACCTACCATAATAGTGAAAAAGCTTTCCCTAAGTAAAATGCTTTTAAAATCGAAATTACATAGTAATATTGAGCAGAGCTACACAACAGCAAACCACCCCAGGGGACTTATTTGCAACATTCTCTGTTCACAAATACCATTACTAGAGCTTCGCGTTCCACCAACTTTAGATAGTTGTGTATAGATAGGAGATCTCTTCGTGTAATTTAGACACACGCGATAACGAATTCATAAGGAACATACACATATACAACTTGTATGAGGCAGCGATACATTAAACTTTTAATAAGTTATCATAAATTTGAATTTACAACTTTTGTAATACATAACATCTATGCAAAACACCATAGTGCTCACGAGTAGAAGGACGGCGTACGACATTATTGTCTAATTGCATATTTGAAAATATAATATATAAGTATTTACACAATCTTTTACGAACCAACAAGAAATAATTAGAAATAGTTATGAGTTAAATATTAGTTTAATACAGTATATAATATTATACAGTATAAAAATTCAGCTGTATTAAAAAGGAGAATATTTTAGTTTTACAACTGAAAATGGCGTTTTAAAATATATTATAAAGTAAATTTTAATTAATTCTTTGAACAAAAATACTGTTACAACTTCCTAACTATATTTGGTACTCAGTGAAGAGATGTTTTTTTTTCAGTAATGTTTTTATTTTAGTATAAAATTAACCTTAAAAACTGTCTCAATTAATCATTTTTATTTCATTAATATTACAAATCAGCTGCTGTGTCTGTTAATTATCATATATAATTAATAGACGGAGCATTATTTCATTATTTTTATTAAATATAAAAATTATAAAATTATTAATA